CTGGATTACAGTCAGTAGCCGACTGTGCGCTGTACGTCTCAATGGTTCAGTGCGGGTCAACCGCTACAGAACGAAGCGTCGATGCTTATTGGTCGTATTGGTATATGCACCGACCGATTGCAGTGCCCCTGAAATCAAAGATTATGTCTACAATGATCTTTCCCAATTACTCCAACGGACATCGTAGCAGCCGCCGGAGACTTCAATGCCTAAGTGGGATCCCCGGACGAATCAGAAATACTTCTTGGTGGACCACATGCAATACCAGCTAACTGGACGGACAACGGAGACGGCCTACTTCATTTCTGTCTGTTCCTCAAAAGCACCAATTTCTCACACAGGACGCCGCCTTACTTGGAAACCGCCAGCCTCTTTACAACGCTGGATTCAAATCAGTTAACGCTGGCGAGGATTCATGGAATACTGCCGCCCTCACTGGTCTACAAGTGGATACGGACCACGCTTTGTCACGGCGAAATTCTTCCTACACCTAGCAAACAACCGTAACAAACTAAGTGGTAACGAATATCCACGACACAATGTCAACGATGGTTGCAAGTCATCCTTCGAAGCGGTGCTCTCCGATCGCCTACTTGTCCAACCATCACAGGTGACCATGATCTCCGGGTCCCCATCCAGGGAGCTTAACTGAAACTATTTCATCCAGTATCCTGCTTAGGATTTTCATAATCTTATGCCAGGTCTTAGTTTGACCACCCTTGATCTTTTTCATCCGTCACCTACCTCGGCAAACAGCGTTAGCTGTGGCAATCTATTTGGTGATATGCGCAGCACATGTCCCGACCAGCGTATTCTATGGACGTCGACTACCTACTTCAGTGGACGACCGCATTTACCTAGAACTCTACGCCTAACCTCAGCATTGCTCTACCGGTTTCCACACCGGAAAACAGCGGGACAGGCGCAATGTCTTAAACAGTGAAGTCGACTAATCTAAATTCGATGGAACAACTATTTCTCCATTGAATCATTACCAGATACGCGATGATTTACCTCCGATCTGCTTATACGCTGGTTCCATACAACCCGGGCTAAACTATGTAAACATCGGCAGCCGAAGATTTCAGACCTGGTTGAGGCTGTATTGAACACATCTTCACACTTGATTAAAGTCTAGAACATAGACACTCCTTTCTTAGACCCACCATTTCTATCTTCCTCAACCTAAAAGCGGCTTTCGATTCAGTCGACCGCTCTAAACTCTGGCACTGCCTTTCCCTGAAGGGAGTGACCGAGAAGTTAATCGCAATTATACTAATAGCCGAAGCCGAGTCCGAGCTTACGGCACGTTTTCATCCGAGTTCACCACGGAAAGTGGTGTTCGACAGGGCTGCCCTCTATCCATTTCTATTTAACTTCGTGATAGAATCAATTCTCAAAACAGCCCTATCCTCGTGCGAGGATAGTGGCATCGATTTACTTCCAGGTGGCAGACTGTGTGATCTAGAGTATACAGGCGATATTGTGCTACTAAGTGAAGACACAGGTGAGTTACAAGCTTTTCTGGATAGTTTGAGTGCTAGCGTGTCCATGTTCGGTATGCGTTTTGCACCTTCAAAGTGTAAAATGTTACTACAAGATCGGGTTGGTCCAGCACCCAGTCTCGCCTTAGCTAGAGAAGTAGTAGAGGAAGTAGACAAATTTCGCTGCTTAGGTAGCTATATCTTACCTGGCGGACGCATCACAGATGAAATGTCGGCTCGGATACTTAAGGCT